ACAGTTAAGTTATAGCTAGTATAAACGAATGTTTTCTTAAGGTGGATCTCCCCCTCTGGGGGTAGGTTATCGAACGATGTATTGGAAGGAAGGCGCGCTGAGTGTCACCTGTTGGTTTGTCCGCTCCTTCGTGGAGGCAACTCTTTATATGCGGATGCATGGCCGCAGCGGCGAGGGGGACGTACCAGAGCGCTTAAATAATTTCCCACTCTGGTGGCAGCCATTGCCCGAAGGGAAAGACGCGGCGAAGTGTGAAGTGGCAAATCTAGACCAACTGGAAATTCGGCACCAACTGGGAACCCCGCCAAAATGGACAAAAGTGACAAAACGGGCAGAAAAACAATTTTGCACCATTTTGCATGCACAAGTGCATTAATTTGGGGCAGACCAAAGGCGCGTAAAATTGGCCCCCCACTCCCCAATGGAGTCAACACTGCTGCACGACACGCGGGGTGGCATAACGGGTCACTTCCAACTGCTGTCACGTTGTGTTGTGGAAACTGGTGCTCACTTCTAACTCCTGTTAACAACTGCCTTTTATTTTTGGCCTGAGTGGGTAGGCCATGCCATTACGCCCAGAATGAATCTATGCGCACGCGGATACCTTTGAAGGCAACGGTTCCCGGCAACCGCGGCAGCAGCGGCACATCGTCTTTCCGCGCAGCCAATTAGAATGGATGCCGCCCGTCCTGCGTATCCCCTTTTTGAATCTCCATTTCTTTATTCTTTTTTTTTATAATCGGACGGGCGAATCCTTACGCTACTACCTTCGAAGGAGTCACCTGGACGGGGTGAAAATTGACGCGCTCCTTAACGGGGCAATAATACATAACCTGACCACAGTTGTTCCGCTCAGAATGATTTAACTGATCGGTACGTTGTGACAAATGGAGAGGCCAGTCTGTGTTTCCCCAAATGTCTCTTTTTTATTCGTGGAATTTCACTCCTTTGCCGCCCTTCCAAACTGCCACACGGTAGGTACCAATTTCATCGTGCAACCTCTGTGTGCCGTTACGACCTAGGAACTACGCGGACACAGAGTCCGTACTTTTGTGCGACATTAATTAATCCTTTAATGTAGTTAAGAAGGTGAAAAAAAAAGGAAAAAAAAAAAAAAAAGAGGTATAACTTCTCCCCTGCGTGAGTATACTCGTGCGGGGAAAAAAAGCCAACATGCGCGCACAGACACCGTTAAAATAGAAGGGGAGTAATTCTGATCAGCGCGAAAAGGGATCACTCCAAAATGACTACTCTAAATGGCTACTCCAACCGGCTATGCAAAAACGTCGGGGGTGCTGCCCCTCTGCCCATGTGAGGCTGCTTTCTCTTATCACTGCTTTGGAATAGGACGGCAAACACCTTCCTCCCCATTTGCCTTCCGTCTGACTGACATCCCCTGGGCACTCTTCACCCCTACCTCCAATCACTGCACAAATGAACGCAGGGACGAAGTCAGCTGTCCTTTACGTGAACTTGGCACAAAACCCGTTAGCATCATTTCATCTTTTTGCGCACTTCTATGTGATCATCAAAAAAGGGGGACAAGAGGAAAAGTGGTGTACATACATATGCATACGCCAAAGAAAAAAAAAAAATGAAATCCCCTTGGAAGTGTATGAACATGTGCAGGTAAAAATGGGGCATTCTTCGTGTCTGTTCCGCTAGTTTTTCGCTTTCTCTTCGCTTGCTCTCCGCCTGTTCGTCGCTCTCCCCGCGAGACACTTCACAACGTCTTCAGCTTCTTCACAATTTTGTTGACCTGGTCGTTTAGCGGATTAACGACATAGTTGTTGAGGTAGAGAGAGACATTGTTCTGATTGTTGACCTTGCTGACCTTCTCGTATATAATATTAAGGTAATTAAATTTGGGGATGATTAAAATCAAGTAAAGAGCCAAATGGAGGAGGCACCAGATGAAGCCGCTTATCTTGTAAATCACTGCTCCTATCGAGGGAGTCACAACATTCTCAAAAACGACAAAAAAATAAACATATTTTAAGTAGTACTCCACCATTTCATATTTTTTATTTTTCCATCCATGGAGGGAAAGTCCAACGGGTAGTAAGTACCCGACCATAAAGATGATTATTTTGAAGAGAGGGCAAAGCATCTTTTCGGCAGTTAACAGAGTATGGGGGATGAAGGAAGTTTATGTGGCCTAAATGGCATACAAATGGTAGGAGTGGTACGCTAAAAAAGGGAGACTAAATAACGTGTGGGGTTAAATTGCGTCAAACAGGGGGAGGGGGTAAAGCTGTCAGGGGGGAAAATAATTGTTCTTAGCTCTTTCCGCAAAAAAAAGAAAGAAAAAGAAAAGAAAAAAATAGGGGCGGTTGCGGTGAACCGAGATCACGCCATTGCACTCCAGCCTGGGCAACAGAGC